TAAGACAATTCCAAAAGACTCATGATAGAAAATGCTATCCACATCCAGAGAAAGAATGCAGATAGAAGCATACTGTTTGCTCTCCTTTTCTTTTGTTGTTTTAATTCTTCTTTCTCGGGCTTCCTCCCATTAGTGTTAATTATTCTATACATCATGACTAATGTGAAAATATGCTTAATATGAATGTATAAGTAGAGCCTATATCAGATTACATGCCCGTCTTGGGGAGGGGGGAGGAGATGAAGGGGGAGAAAATTTAAAACTCAAAATCTTATGGAAGTGAATGTTGAAAACTAAAAATAAATAATTTTTTAAAAAAAGAAAAAAAGATTTGCAAGTACTTTACAAATATTCTCTCATTTGATTCTTGCAATAACCCTGGGAAACAGGTAGTATTATTATCCCCATTTCACAGATGAGGAAAAGGAGGCAGACAGAGGTAAAGTGATTTACCCAGGGTCACGCAGTAAGTGTCTGAGGCAAGATCTGATTTCAGGCCTTCTCAGTTCCAGGTTCAGCACTGTTTCCTGAGCTGTCTCTCTTACTGTAAGAGAGATCTCCTTTTTGGGGGGTGGGGGTCAGGAGGCAGGATTAGTATTTTAAATACCAGTCTTTGTATTGAGGGTGAAATCTAAACTGAGCTCTGCTCTTCCTATTCCCCACCCCAATTGGCTGTCATTGCCCAAACCCTTTGGAAGCCTGGTCTTAGGTAAGAAGTATTTGAATACTCTTGAATTTATGGGGCAACCTGCTGGGACCCTAGAGTTTGAGGTCTTTCTTCCCTTCCATCACTAGCTACAGTCATATTTGGGCAGCAGCCTGGGGAAGGTTAGGGTAGGGAGGAAGGGAGGGGACTGAAGCCAGGGAGGAGTCAGAGTTGCTCAAGAATAGGGGGAGGGGAGGATGACTGGGAATGTTGTTGGTTTCGCAGCTGGGGTTGTTGGTCCCTCATATGCCAAGACAAGTTCATAGTTCCTAAAGCAGGAGTGAGTGGAGATAGGGCTAATGAGAGGGTTAAGGCTGGAATAAGTTAACAACAGCTCTGCTCACGTAAATGCCTTAAGGATTATGACTAACATGCTTCCACAATATTAAACGGGAACATGTGGCCTAGGGGTGGGGTGATCCAAGCCAGGCTCTAATTAAGAGAGGATATATATGAGACTCTTAGCCACAGATTATCATATGCACACATATTAAGCCAAATATGGGATTGTTCAACTGTGTGGGTGAGTGAGTTTGGGTACAGTTAGATGCGTGAGTGTATGTGTCCTCTGTGTATCTACATGATCATTTTTGGGGAGTTTGAGACCTGTAATTTCATTGATATAGAGAACTCCCCAGTGAGGAAACCCCTCTGCTTGTGAAAATCAGGCACCTTAGAGAATTGCCTAGACAGAGAGCCTTGAGGGGTTAAGTGATGTGCCCAAGGGTCATACAGTCAGTATGAGTCAGAGACAGGACTTGTAACCATGGGCTTTTTGACTGGGTAAAACCACCTTGGCAAACAGGTTCAGGGCACCTGAATCCAAAACCTTAAATCCAATTCATGAGTAATTCAAGACATCATCCTTGATGTCATTGGTCTTCTGAAAGGAAGGATGAACAACAATAACAGCTCTGTATGCACTATACCATGCTGCCTTTCCCATGTGATGTCATCTAAAATTCAGTGCAGTTGTAAAAAATGTTGAGAATGTAGTAGAGTTGCCCTAGGTGCCAGGAAGACCTGAAGCCAGATTCAACTTTCAACACTGACAGTTAACTAACTGGCTAAGTAACCCTGTGCAAATTAACACCTCAGTGCTCTAGGCAACTCTATCAGGCTAGAAGTTTCTAAGAGGGTGCCAACCTGCATTAGTAGAGGGAATTTCTTCATCTTGGATTTTCCTTTGTATCAATGAAATCACAGGTCCAGTTCCTTCTCTCTAAAATATTTAATGAGTTGGATTCAAAAAATATCAGTCCCCACAAATGAGTCAGTGAATCCATGAATGTGTGCCTGTGTGATAGGATATGTGTCCACATGTGTATATAGTGGGTAGGGGTGCTGTTCTGGTCATAGGTTCCTCCAGAATATTCTCATCCAAACCACAGACAAAACTTTCTCAAAGGGGAGATTCCTAGATTTCTTTAAGTTAGGGAGGAAAGTGAGGTTGTGTTGAATGCTCAGTGAGGAGTGATTTTGGATCACAGGTTGTCAGATTTTCTTCTGGCATCAATGGAAGGGCCAGAAAGAAGATTCAAGGCACTAATTTGCTTTTTAAGGGCATGCAAGCCTGGTCCTATAGTCATGTGTCCCTACTGTTCTCAATGCCAGTTTCTCAATGCCATCAGTAAAATGAGACTAGTGGAATTTACCTACCCATCAATGTGTGAGTGCACCCAAGTGTACCCTAGTGTTGGACAGCAACACCCAGGGCAGTCAGAACCACAGTGAAAGGGCCACATGGCATTTCCCCTGGAGGACAGTGTCATCCTTTTCATCTGGATGTCTTTATGAGCTTGCACTCTTGCAAGTAAGTAATCTTGTATCAGCTGCAGCCTTGGGCTATTCACACAGGCAAAATCCCGATAGCCACTTTCAGGCTAACACAGGTGCTCCGTTCAGGGAACACTCAGAGCAGAAAAAATGAACAAATGCACCTTGTGTGCCTATGGAAGGGAAGCCTTCTGGCCTTGGGGACAACTGACTGGGTTGAAGAATTTTCCTTTGGATTGACCATCCCCAAGTTCTTATAACAGGAGTTGGGATTGCTCTGGTGGAAAGGCTGCTCCTGAGGGAAGTAGAGAGACCTCTGCTGGGGCTCACTGGAAACACATGCTGGGAGGCACTGAAGGCTTAACATTAAGATCCTATTCTAAACTTAACAAACTCCAAATAAAATGGATAGTTTTATATTCATAATGGAACAGAAAAAAGAGAATTGTACATAGAAATTCAGGTCTCTATTAAGTACAGCTTGATTTTCTTTTATAAGTATATATTAATTTCAACCTATAACTTTCAAAGCTGTCCTGCTTGTCTGTGCTTCTTTCTTCTTGCCTTCTTTTTCTCTGCATTTCTTAAAACGCCTCTTTTCTTTCATTTCCTTTTTTTTTTACTCTCTTCCTAGCTTCACTCATTTTCTCTCCCACATCCCATTGTAAAAAAGAAAGAAAGGAAAAGGAAGCCTTTCTAATTAATCTTTCTAATTAGCCTTTCTAATCTCTCTGCCATGAGATGGGTAGTATGCTTCACTATCAGTCTCATGCAACTGAGATTGATCATCGTATTTATCAGAATTCTCAAGTCTTTCAAAATTGTTTTTCTGTGTAAATTGTTCTGGTTCTGCTCATTTCACTCTGCATCATTTCATTTAAGTCTTTTCAGATTTTTCTGAAACTATCCACTTTGTCATTTCTTATAGAGCAATAATATTCTTTAATAATATTTAATTTAATAATATTTCTCATAGAGCAATAATACATAATAAGACATAATTTGTTCAACCATTCTCCAATAGATAGACAATTAAGATATCCTATATATGTTCTGCAGTCACCACTTTCCCCGCCAGCATTTGGGGAGAGTTTGGTAGTTTGGTTTTGGAACTGGAGCACTGGAATAGTAGGAGAGAGAATCCTTCTCAAACTCTTTCTTTGTTTTCTCCAAAGTCTTCACGAAGATTCTGTCCCCAAGAGATTTTCCTGAAACTCAGAGAAAAGGGGCAGTGTCCTAATCTGGGCTTGGGTACACCTCCCCCCCCCCCACACACACCTTGATCTCGACAAACTTGAGGGGAGAGAGTGTGTAGTACAGGAATTCCACAGAAATCTTGCAATGGAGAAATTAGAAACTTTTGACAATATGTGTGTGTATATATATATGTGCACATTTAATCATCAAGCATTTCTAAAAGACCTTCTATGTGTCAGGTACTATACTCCCAGTCAGTCAGCAAGCATTTATTAAATGCTTACTATGTACCAAGCAATAGTAAAAATAATAAAAAAAAATTAGTAAAAAAAAAATCCCTCACCAAAGGCAAAAACAGTCCCTGCTCTCAAGGAGCTCGTGGTCTAATGGGAGAGACAACATGTAAACAGCTACGTACAAACAAAATATACACAGGATAGACCAGAGATAACACTGTGTTAGCATTAAGGGGAATCAGGAAAGGCTTCTTATGAAAGGTGAGATTTTAGCTGAAACTTGAAGGAAGCCAGGAAAGCTAAGAGGTTGGGATGAGGAGGGAAAGAATTCCAGGCACTGGAAAGAGCCAGCAAAAATGCATAGAAGGAGATGGAGTGTCTTGTATGAGGAACAGCACTGGTCAATGGAGCAATATGCCTGGGTTCTAGTTGTGGCTGTGGTACCATGTGACCCTGAGCAACTCTCTCAATCTCTCTGGACCTTTGTTTCTTCATCTGTGGTAGACTAGATGATCTCTTAAACTCTCTTTCCAGACCAAATATTCTGTGGCTGACTGATTGGTTTGTTAAACATTTGTTGAGTTTCTACTGTATCCCAAAGCACTGTGTGTATCTACTGGATCAGAGAATTTTCTACTGAGATTAGAATGTCACCTTGAGGTCAAGGGCAGTATCATTTTCCCTTTTCCATTCCCCACAATGGCATACATATAATAAGTATTTCAGTAAGCATTTGATGAGTGAATTCTGAAAATTATCATTATACCTTTCATTAATATAGCTCCTTACAATTTTCATAGCCCTTTCACATTCATTGTTTGATTTAATCCTCCCAGAATTTTTCAAAGTAGATACAACAGATCCCCAAATTATATAAGGAGAAACTGGAGCTTAAGGCCATTACAGAATTACCCAAGCTCATTTAGCAAGTTAGTGGTAGGGGCTGGGATTAGAATTTAGGCTTCCTTATTCCAGATCTAGTGCTTTCATCATCACTTGGGTCAGCCACCATTGATTTTATTAACACCTCTGCTCTCTAGGAGGGGTCCTTGATCTTGTTCCTGGCCACCTCTTTATTCCCTCAGGTTTCTACCTCACCTGATGCCATGTTACCCCAGGAGGAGAAAGTGCCATTGTCCTCCCAGACCAGAAACCAAGCTGGACTACGACGTCATAAGCGTCGTAGCATGTCCCAGCCAGTGACCCCAACCCATCAAGTCCCGAAGGATGGTGAACCCTCTACTACCCAGGAAGCTTCTCCCTTCCTATTGGAACTGCAGAGCCTTCCAGGATTGGCTGACGTAGATCTCAGTGCCCAAAACCCCAACATCCAGGTGAGTATCTAGGAAGGTGGGTCAGAGAATGGAGTGGAGGTCTAAGGGAATGCGGTGGAGTAAGGGAGAGACTGAACTCATTTGGGAGGCAGTGTGGTCAAGTGCAAGGAGCCCTGGGTTTGGAATTAGGGGCCATGACTCCAGATCTTGAATCCTGACTGTCCTCTACTATCTGTGCAACCTTGGGCTAGTCCCTTCACTTCCCAGGGCCTTAGTGTCTTCATCTGTCTAACAAGGGGCTTGAACTACATGACCTCTAAGGCCCCTTCCCTCTGTAGGTCTATAATCCTATGATCTTTTGGCTCCAGGTGTCATCATTCAAATAGCTACCTTTGGAGAATAATGGAGTTAAGATGAAGGGGGTGGAATCTTTAAAGTTCTTGCCAAATTTCAGCCTTATGATCAGTACTTCTAGAAATGGAGGCTAGAGTCCTCTCCTTTTCCATCCCATACAAATGAGTTTTGTTCAGGGATATAAAGAACTTTATAGTAATTCACATACATATAATGCTTTAAGTTTTGTAAAACGTTTTCTTCATGACATTCTTATGAGATAGATAATACAATTTTTATTATCCCCACTCTAAAGCTGAGGAAATTGAGGCTCAGAGAGGTTAATTGACTTCACAAAACTAGCAACTGTTGGACCCAGGTCTCCTGACTTCAAATCCAGTACTCATGTTACTACCCAGCTCTGCCTCAAACTATAAATACTTGAAATTGTAGTTTATTCCTCAAACTGGGAAAACTTAGGAACTGAACAGTTTTGGGCCATCTGCCTCTTTTGTACCAAAGTGCTTTCTGGCTCCTATTTATTGCCAGAAGTAGGGAAGACTGCACATAGGAGTAGAGTACCTTGGGAATCCTTGGCCTTTCTAGTCCCATGGAGGCCCAGACAGGTTCAAATTCTTCTTTTCTTTCAGAGAGACAATGTCCAACCTTGTTTGAAATTGGGGGTCAGAAATGTAGAATTCCAATGCAAGTTGTATGGAGAAGAATGCAGACTTTGTTTCCCCAAAGCACCCACTCAGCCCAGCTGGCAGGGATAGAGATAGGGAGAAGCATTGAGGGAGTATAGCTTGGGCATTCAGTTCTTTCTGGGTTGGCTAGAATTTGGCATAGGGAGGAACCCATCAAGGGGAGAGTGACTTAGATAAGGTACATTCTAATTTTGGTAATTCTTAACCATGACCTGAAAACCCCAGAAGTACCACTATCTATGGGTTTAAGTTATCCATGGAGTTAAGATGAAAGGGGTAGGATTTCTTTCTTTCTTTCTTTCTTTCTTTCTTTCTTTCTTTCTTTCTTTCTTTC